GGCAGAATTCAACTGTCATCTTTGAAAAATCATATCTCTCTCATCTCACATCATTTTTTGCTGACATTTGGCGAGTTTACATACCTTTGAGTCAGGAATCCAAAAAAATTGAGTTTACATCAATTGGAATTCTATACCTCTAGATATTGAATTTTGAATGGACAAAGGTCAACAGTGGCAGAATGCGAGATTTGACTTTGAAGAATATGATTTCCATGATCTTTCTCTTTTTATTTTTCTTACATTACATTTCCAGAAAGATATGCATGTCAACTTTTTAGTTCCAATGGAATCACTTCATTTCGATCTCTATAACTCACGCTCTGCACAAAACACTGACTAAATGTCAAATATGCCAATTACCTTCAATTTACTCATCTTTGCATTTTTCATCTAAAAGTGCCTTCAAAACATAAAATAAAGAATATCAAGGCATTTCGCATAGAAAATATGGACAAAAAATTAGGTAAATATGGGTGAAACTATCAAATAATATGATTACATCACCAGCCTATATGGGTTTGGGCTAAGACATCAGCCCGACGCAGCCCAAAAAAGGCGGGTTAGGTCTAGACCCTTTTTTTTTAAAAAAAAAGAGAAAAATTCAAAAATATTTTTTTTAGAATTTTTAAATTTTTTACGTAGTTTTTATGCCATTTTGATTAATATTGGGTATTATTTTTTATGTTGTAAAAATATAATTTTGATATGAAAATACCTGGTTTTTTTTGTCAAAACTTCCAAAAATATAAAAATGAAAAAAGAACAAATATTTTTGTGTATACGACCAAGTGTCTCAAAGTAAAAAATCATATTGTGTTTTTCATACACAAAAAAAATATTTTAACATACATTTTAACTTTAATAACCAGTTTATTAAAGTCAAGAAAATATTGGTCAAACTTTCAAAAACAACAAAAATTTTATTTTATTTTGTTTTAGTATTAGGGAATACAAATTTAGACGTAAAATGTATCAGGGAATACATTTTTATTCTCGATATTAAAAAGGTATTGTTTCATTAACAACGTAGAACAATTATGTTTTTACAGGATAAGATAAGGATCTCCTTATTATGAAGGACTTTTCTTGAATTTTAGACATGTCCATAATTAGAAACCATAACCAAACTTTAGATTTTATCATATATTAAAACAATACAGTTTATCTTAGGCAGAGCATAACTAGGGTGTTAATGCCTTCTTTTTACGCAACCAATCTTTGTACCCCATCTATGAGATCAGTTAGGGTTCCTGGTGACCAAAATACTAAGTAACGACTCTTAATCCATATTTTAGGGATAAGAGACAAGAATTCCTTGTCTTTCCATATTTTCCAAAATAGACTATATATCTATCTATTTCTATAATTTTTTTAGGGAGAATGATCGCTACGACGCCACACACATACGATAATGGTAACTAGAAACCCCAACTAATTATGTTAAAAGATTGGAAGAAATTATTCTAAGGCAATAAACCTAATATGGATTGTTTTATATTTGTTTTTAATAATATTTTCACACTTGACATTATGACGAGCCCATAAAAGCAAAATCTTATTTTATATTAAGAAAGTATAGCAAAAATGGAAAGATGAGTCGCCACTTAGTATTATAGTCATTAGAAAATCATAACTGGTTAATAGATAGTCATAGTAAGAGATTGATTATAGTAAAGAAAATATATTATTATTATAAAACATCTTACTTAAGGTAGTTTGCATTGTTTATCTTATATTTTAATCCTAATAGTTTGTTGTGTCTTATCTATTAGTGGTCTATTTATAGGATAATAATGAGTTTACTATGATAATTTAAACCCTGATTTTTGCTTTGAACCTAATAATTTTAAAATCTGGTTTATTTTTATCATTCCAAATTGTTACCTTTAGATAACACTCGGTGAATTGACAATACTAAGGTTAGTCATTCCTGATCATAATCTATCACTAATTATCAATTGAATTATGTTAGTGAGTTTATTTATGAGCTTATATTAAGTTTATTGGACCAAACCTAAATAATAAGAAAGGTCTATGAAAGGTGTCTCAATGAGGTTCATCTATCCTATTGCATTTGTGTTTCACTCAAAATTTATTAAATGAAGACTTAATGCTCTCAATTCACACTTATATATACTTCATGAATATTAGACCTTTTTTTTAATATTCTTGATTTTTTTATTGGAGAATGTTATACTAAAAAATTTAATACTCATGATTTTGTTATTGGTGAATATTAAACTAAAATTTTTATTATTTGAAAAATTAGTAGGACGTATTGCACCTACTAATATTCAAGGGAATAGCCTATACTGAGTCTATTTATCAAAAATACCAATAGTAAGTAGCAAAATATATTTTTTAACATGATTTACGAGAGAACAATGATTAGTTTTTTAAAGGTTTGAAATGTCAACCTAATTGGCCTTTTAATTTAGGCAAAATCTCAATGAATTTTATAAATTTATTATAAAACCCTAAAATATACATGACAATTACCTTTTCTTTATCTTTTGTAAAAATGCTAAAATAAACATTAAAACATGTAAAAATATTTGTTTTTTATTTTTTTAGATTTTTGAGAAACTTAGCCATGATGCATGAGATTTGATGGTAATAAAATCTTTTATATTTGAATGATAAGGATCATGTATTTACCAATAAAATGGACAAAAATCATCATCTAATTATAATTATTGTGTTTGCCAGATCAAGTGATGGCATCCAATGCATAAATGGTTTATCAATTAAGATATGTTGTCACAAGACAAATTATTACATCATACTAGAGGTGTTCAAAAACACCGAAAAACTGATTAAACCGAGAAAACCGAAAAAAAAAACCGAAAAAACCGAACCGAAAAAAACAACCGATTAAACAGATTAAAATTTTGGAAAAACTAGCCAGTTCGGTTCGGTTTCGGTTTTATAACCAAAAAACCAAACCGAACCGAACTGAAACCGGAAAAAAAACTGAGCCAAGACCGAGCCAAACCGGAAAAACCGAGCCAAAACCGAGAAAACCGAGCCAAACCAGTTTGAACCGGTTTTTCCCCTAAAAAACCGAACCGAACCGAACCGAAACCAGTCGGTTTGACCCGGTTTCAGTTCGGTTTCGGGTTTTTTTTCAATTTTTTTTTCCAGTTTAGTTATTTTTT